GATGATGGACGTGAATTTAAACGGAAAAGATGATGTGGAATGAATTATAGTACATACAAAAACAAGCGCCTTATCGTGTAGTGTTAATGAAATTGTGAGGAATACTTTTTGGGGAAAAATTCATATTCTGGAGGTGTGTTTGGGAAAGGTTTTAGACAACAGATAATGGTTGGTTGAGAGGATCATGAATAATCGGGAGAGAACTCAATTTGACATGGGATGAAATTGTAATTTGTAAAGACATTCTTTCTACTTCAAATGCGTTGAGAAACTCGGTTTGTTTGAGAGATTGAAAAGGGTTGAGAGTCTCAAACAGGGTAAGATATTCGATCCTCATGCCAAGGAGGTGCATTGAAAGAGGATCGATATCATGAAAATACACTGATGAATATGTTGAGCGACTTGAAAAGGTTGGAGACCTGAGCATGTACGTGGTATCTAACCAGAAAGTAAAGAGGCTATATTCGCGAGATGGACCGTGAGATCAGTCAAGCTTGTAATTTGTAGAAGAATACCCAAAGAGCAATTAAAGTCGCAGAGCAGTTCCATCTTATCTTGTAAGGCGTTTGCGAAAAAGGAGGACCTGCGCAGAAGCTCAAAATTCAAATGGCGTGTTTTCAATAGCCTTTACATACACAGGTTCTGGTCCTCAGGATGATGCGATTGAGATATAAAGAGCTTAATGACATTGCTCATGCATGTTATAATGGTGGTATTGGAAACTGTGGCTTCGAATGATACTGTCTGTTGATGAAGCGTGGAAAGCCAATGGGTTTTCATGCTCTGATCCTACCTCAAACTTCACGCTCTATTCTCAAAGCACCCAAAGATATTTGCTTCATTGAAAGAAAGCAAGCGAGCGTCCTCAATGTTTAAGATTTCAAAATAGCAAGACATTGCTTGGCCAGATCCTAATTAGCTTCATCCGATTTGACGACTGTAGCCCCAGCCAGGCAGGACCGAAAACACCATAGAAAGCGTTTCGAGCTTGATATTACAACTGCAGAAGTTCGCATGCTCTATAAGATAGACATAGTAATGGAACTTTACAAGTCAAGGAGTACAGATCTTGGCTTCCGCGGTAGTGTCATTTCGATGATATTTCATTGACTATGAATAGGACAACTTCCAACCGCGGGTAAATGCAGAGACTTCTGCAGATAGTAGAGATACTTATAGAACTTGCAAACTTCAATTGTCAACGAAAATAGAAGAGCCTGTCAGTTTGTCCTTCACAGATGGGAAGGTTCTGTATATAGATCGTGGAGGGGGGGGTTAAGCGTAGTAAGAAGTAAATGGGTAAGAAACGAACAGTGAGTGAAGATCTAATTAGACAGTTGTACGTACATTTGTAGTCTTTACGCTTGTTGTAAGCATGACTTAAACCCGCAGACATGTCAGTTTTTGATACCCAAATCCTGGTTGCGACCATTCCCTATCGACTTAAGACTCTCATAGAGTTCTGATATGCAGGTCTAATGCTGACTTGCTTGTGAAGAAGTCATACTTATTGATGACTGCAGTAATCTATACTATCCATGTTCATGATCCACGCCCATATGCACGAATACATAACTGACGTAACGGTTAGATGAAGCTTGAATAGAAAGTCGTTTCGTTGATCCAGTCACCTTCGACATCATACGGCTCCAATGAAGCATAATATAGATTAACATCGGTAGATCAAAAGTAAGCGACGCTTGACACATCTATATATTATTGATGCATGAAAAGATCCAACGTTGATTCACAGATCTCTGAGATCGTTCTAACGAGAAGTGGAGATTGTGTTCATCACGTGAAATGCAACATGTTCTTTTTAAAGCAAACGGGGTCTTCAAGATCGATTCCCGGGCCGATCTGCCAAGAGAATCAAAAGTCCTGCAAGTCAATCTTACATTGTACATACTGTCACATCTACTGAGGCCGATTTGAATCATTTGGTCAAAACCCCAAAAATAGATTTTCGCTTAAGCTAAAAATATATTTAGAATTTAATGATGTACTTTTATACAAAGAAAAAGTATTCAATTCAGTACACAACTTTAAAGGGATTGATAAAATGAAAAGAAAAGAAGCACAATTATTAATTAGAACTTAAGGAATCGATTGATATATTTCTTTATAAATTATTTCAAAAATTGAAATTTATATCTAATATAATAGTATTTGTAGAATAATAGACTTGATATTGAAATTTAATTATTATTAAAATTTAATAAAATATTATTATATTGAATATAAATTTCAATTTTTGAGATAATTCATAAAGAAATATATCAATCGATTCTTTAAACTCTAATTAATAGTTATACTTCCTTTCTTTTCATTTTATTAATTTCTTTAAGGTTATATACTGAATCTAAGAAATTCTATACTATTGAAGAGATTAGCTGAAACTTGATTAGTCATAGTACCTAATATTTGAGGTATCAATATAAAATAAATATAATTGAAATAATTATAATAATAATATATTAAATATCAATTTTATATTTTGAAATAATTCAAAAGTAACTATACCAATCGATTCCTTAAACTTCAATTAATAATTATACTACTTTCTTCTTAATTTTATAAGCTTCTTTAGGGTTATATACTGAATTGAATGTTTTTTTTTTTCAATATTATAGAAACTAATTAAAGCTATATTAATTATATTATTTAAACAAGATAAAAATTGAAATAAGGAATTCTTACTAAGCTTGCTTGCTTATTTCGCTTATCCTAAAGTAGTTTATGCATTATAAGGAAAATTATTTAATGATAGATTTTAAATATTAATACACTTCTTATAAAAAATTTCGAAATGAATTCTAAAAATATATAAATAAAATTAACCCTAAAGACTATTCAATAATATAATTTATTCTACAAAAAACTTTTAATAAGATTGAATTCTATCTTTCTTTATAAAATTTCTATAAACACATTATATAGATTCTAAAATTTCTTTTTTCATTAGACGAAAATCTATTTTTGGGGTTTTGGTCAAATGATTCAAATCGGCCTCAGTACATCCCGAGGAGGAGGGAAATCGAACATGTACGTCGCGAGGTTTGTGATATGAACATGGATCGGCGGTGAGAATATCGCAATTCTTGTGTACGTGGTACACATGATGAGAAGTCTGTATCTCTTGTCGGCACTGGATGGCAAACATTTATTGTACTCGTGGAGTTCTAGAAAGTGTTCGAATAAGACACTGGATGGACAGACACACTGATCTTACTTTGGGGTCTTGACCTTACCATATGAGGAAGGTAATATCTTAAAATCACTTACTAACCATATAAGAAACGCCTCTGGATGAATTCAAGGACATTTATCAGCTGTAATGCCCATATTGTCCACTGAGCGCAAAAAGGAATTGCCATCCAGAGTATCATGGATAATAAAAAGGCCATAAAACAGGCATGGTAGGTATTCGATATCTTGAGGATCTTTTCCTAAATCGACGTACACAGATGCTTTCTCATTGACGCTGACTACCAAGATATTGTTGGAAATATATCATCTTATGCTCTGAAGGGAAACAATAGATCTTTCAAAATGTACGAGTAACGCAGAATTAGATCTACGTACTACTGTGCCCCCTTGGCTAGGCGAGGCAGGTAGGTACAGTATGATGAATTCCAGGACTTCCAGGACTTCAACATTGGTAAGAATATGCATTAGACGACATCGATCCAACTCAGGAGTACTTCTCTAATAAGTTCTCTGCTTTCACTCGTAGTTAGTTCCACACTTATTCTTACCTAGGTATTATGTGCTGTGTTCGCACTTTTGCTCGCTCTCGTACAAGGCTAAACTCTTCCTTCCACTCAGACTCTTGGATCGGCTCCAAAGTAGAATGGCGGCGTTGAATCCTTGAAGAGAAAACCGGAGACGGTAAACTCATCTGAGTATAGCCTCATCTTCTTCTCATCTGGCTAATCTGTGAATTTCTTAATCCCATCCTATCGCACCATTCACATCCATCTACCAGGAAATCTTGAGTCTAGAATTTGATCCTTATTTACGAATTATTGAAAGTCGTGCCGAATCAAAGCATCAAGGGGGGCGATGATCATTGAGATGCCAGGTACTTGCATACATCAGTTCGGGAATTTAACCCTATACAGTACATTTCGTACCTTCACTTCAAGCAGGCTTCTTGCTGCACTCATTATAATTTCTAGCCGCCACCAATTAATAAAGAGGATGCGGATGTACTCCGTAGGTAGGTCTGTCAACAGGTCTAACGAAATAATTTCGATATTTAAATGGTCAAAAAAAGCAAGAAAGTGGTAGATGGCATTTTTACACATTTATGTGAAGATATGGATGTGAAGAATTGATTCCCTACTTCCAAATTCCTTTTTTTCGAACATTTCTATCTCCATTATCGACACAGGCAATCTGCATCATCTTTGTTCTCGACCCTCACTCGCCTCACAAGGATACCTGAGCAGCTGGAGTATCAAGATCATCTTTTTTTTGACATCGGATCCACAGCTTTCCGTGCTTCCTATGCAAAACTTACTTCGACTCCATTCCAAGTTCTACTTAGTCCATGAAATCGATATCCCACTTCAATATTAATCAAAATTTACCATCATTGTGGGTTTCTACCGTGACACTGCTTCGATCTTCATCTGCATAACATCTGCCATTGTATCTCAACTTCAAATATCTTCTCGTTGGCCAATGTTATTGGGAATACGGAGATACGACGAGAAAATCTTCTGCGAAGATTCGCAGCATACCCAATCGTGGCGGCATACAACCAGCCTTATCTTGCGCCAGGATTCGATCTGGAATATCAATACCTTCAATCGAACCCCTCACCAATATATTCGGGATCTACCAGTACCACGTCGGACTTGACTATCATTGGCGATCAACGATACGCTTCCCCAGCTTATCCTATCTGCGACAACAGTCCTAGACCTACAAAACGTCAAAAGATTAATGGAAAGCCCAAGCAGATTAAAGTTCGAGCAAAGATAGATAATCAGATGCCAGGAAATGATGCGTCTTCCGCAACTGCTGCGGAGGCTTCAACGACCGCTGCAAATAAACCAAAACGAGTACGGACGGGATGTTTGACATGCAGAGAAAGACATTTGAAATGCGATGAGGGTTTACCAAATTGTCTGAATTGCCGGAAATCTAGTCGGGAATGCAAAAGAGGGGTGCGATTAAATTTTATCGATACCCAGATCAAATCACCACCAATGATCCCTCCTACAGCAGACTGGTCAGGTCAGTAGATTTAAGGATATTTTCACCATACGTTTACTCACGCATGTTTAGTTCAATTCCAAGATGAGTCCCGCGAAATTGCTTCAGAATACAAGGGCGGCTTAAGTCGATATGCTCACATCGAACAAACAATTACTCCTCCTCGAGATCCGCCCACCGAATATCCTATGCGACCTGTGGTTGTTGATCCTATGATGCAAGGGAATGCCCTTCCGCCAATACAGACTGCTGGTACTTTCATGGATAATAATCTTGGGGCTAAGCAAGAGATGGCACATTCTTCACATTCTAGGCACACAAGTAGGCATTTATCTCACGCTGGTAGTGAGAGTTCTAGTTATTTGACCGCGCCGACGGCATACACTGCTTCGGAACAAATCATCACGCCACCTAACGAAAGTCGGGATTATCTTACTACTCCCGAAGAAGTTCTATATATGCAAGTTTTCGTCGAGGAAGTTGGATTATGGATGGATAGTATGGACCCGATGAAACACTTCTCTAGGTTATTACCGTTCCATTCTCTAGGAGAACCCATGCTTCTCAATGCTTTCCTAGCATGTGGAGCTCGACATTTGACTCTTGTCAATCCTGTTTACCAGGAGGACAAAGCATTATATTATTATGACACAGCCACTACTCAATTGTTGCGATCGTTACAAAATCCCGATCGAGATACTGTCATCTGTGCAACTACAGCTGTCATTCTTAACGTTTATGAGATCATGTCTGAAAGAGCGATGCAACGTATGAACCATATTGCCGGAGCACGAGCTTTGATTAAGGAATGTGGATGGAATGCACGAAGTACTGGTGTAGGGGCCGCATGCTTTTGGCTTAATGTTGGTATGGAATTGCTCAGTTGTTTGCATTTTAATTGGCAGGTAGCTTGGGAACCGGATCAATGGGGAGTTGATATGGATTTTTCACGAGAATTGGAAGCTGGACGAGAGGAAGTATGGGTTCATCGGATGCTATACATCATTGGTAAAATCGCAAACTTCCGGGCATCAATTCCACGATTTCAGGAGGCTTCACCACACGACGAACAAATCCGAATGCAATCTAGGTATGCGGAGTGGCAAAAATTAAAGAATCTTTGTGATAGCTGGAATACTAGTATACCTCGGACCATGCACCCGATGGCTTATTTGTATCCGTCACAGACCACTTCAAGTTCCGCTTTCCCAGAGATCTGGTGAGTATTCATCCATTAGGCGGGGTGTACAAAGTAACCTACTAATCACAAACTTATAGGCTTCTCAAACGTGCCACAATTGTTGGTAGATTGTTCTACCACACAGCGATGTGCCTTCTCCCTCAAATTAATCCGTTGTTGAGTCCAGAAAATGCGGAAATGCACGATATGCAGCAAGACCATTCTCGTTCCATATGTGGCATTGTAGCACACGTCAAGGACAGGGGAGTTGCTAGTGTCGCGCTTCGCTCTTTAGCTATCGCTGCCGAATGTTTAGTCGTTCGTCGCGAACAAGAAGAAGTTCTCACCATATTCGAAAAAATTCGAAAAGAGACGGGTTGGAGAGTTGGGTTCTTACACAAAGAACTCAAAACGAAGTGGGGTTGGCCAGATGAAACAGCACAACAGCAACAGATGATGCCACAAGCGAATTCCTTGTCACAGTTTTTCCCTTCTAATACGCCAGCACCAACGTCAAATTTACCATCTGCACCACCAAGACCGTCTATTCCAAGCGGTATCTTGAATCCTCTTCTGAAAACTGCCGACTTCTCCTTACCGAATCATCCATATCAACAACATTATCAACCACCAAACACAACAAATCAATTTACTCATACATATCTATAATTGATATGTCATATTACAAACCAGCATCCAAATTTTCATTGTTCATCACTTATTCGACGACGCTATGGGAGACGCAAATCAAAACAATACCTGAGAGGAAAAATTCAGGGATGGACGCCATTTTGCATACGGAATCCGGGGGACAAAATTTCAATTTAGCGTTAAGAACTGGGACATTGGAGTCAAATTGGCGTTTGGGGAATAAACAATCGGCGCCGGATTGGTGGGCACTCCTAGGTATGCTTGAACATAAAACCTTGGAGTTTGAGGGAATGGAGGACTTTATTCTTTCAGCGTTGTTCTTAGATAGTGTAGTACCATAGAGTGAGTGACATTGGACGATAGTGTATATACATTATACATGAATTGTATTATCTCTGAATGTTAAAGAATGTCCCTATTTTTTTCGATGCACGCCCTTCTCGTCTGAATGGTTTGAACTTGGTGAGTAGGTGAACTCATTATGAACGGACAATTGAGGCTAGTAGGTACTTTAAGTTTTGCCAATTTCATATACAGGTAGGCGAATCCGGTAGTATTGGTAGACAGTCAATGATTCAACATCATACAAATGTCTAGGTATGTTTCAATTGTCAGTTCAATAGAAAAATTGCTTTTCAAAACTAATAGTCGGCTCTCATAAGCGGCCGACTAGTTCCTAATCGGGGAAAGCAAATGTTCCCGGAAAGCAAATTGTCCCCGCTCAAACTCCAAAATATTATATATTTGATATTTTTAAAAATAGTTTATTAATAAAAGTATTATAGAATTGAATTATTAATATAGAGAAAAGAGAGATTAATAGAATTATATAGTTATTTAATAATATTTATTAATAAAAGCCTAAATCGATATTATTATTATTATCGCTATTATTTTTAATATTTAGATTACCTTTTTCATTTTTTTTTATTTTTTTTTAAAAGTCTTTTATAAACATAAAAGGCATATAGTCATACTATAAATCTAGTTCTATATCACCCTATATATTTATTATAAAAACAACCTTATTATTATTATTATTATTGCTATTAGTATTTATTATTCTCAAACTTTCCCCAACTCCCATATTTTTTTTCAATTCTTTTTTCTTTTACAGCTTTATTTATATCTGATTTATACATTTCCATTTTACCTTTAGATTTACTATTAAAATAATTAGATAATAAGATAAGAGAATATTGAGATTTTGTTTTTGATATTCTTTTAATTCTTTTATTCTTTTCCTTTCTTTCTTTTTAGTATTTTTATTTGATTTTAAAACATCATTTTTTTTAGTATACTAGATAATTAAAAAGGTATTATAATCTCTCTTTTTAGTTATAAGATTTTCTTTATTCTTTATTTCTTTTCAAATCCTTTGAGAATTTTCTATTGTAAATCCTTTTGAAATATCGGTAGCAGAGGTTTTGTATCGTTTTCTAAATGTTTAACTAGCTATAAAATCTTCCTATCTTCTTTTGTGATATACTGTAATCTCTACTTTTAGGGCCCGTTCGGATCGATTTTTTAGGCGATATAGAGCTATATTTGTTGTTAATATAGGCCTAAATGAGTGTTTACCGAACGCTAATGTAGCTCAACAATTTATATTGATTACAAAATTGGAAAAAAGCGTTTTACTGAACACTATATTTGGCTATAAAAAGCTATAAAATGTGAGTCGACAAAATTTGAAAATTTGTATGACAGCCTCGCCAAATCTGTAATACAACTTTGACTAGCATTTGTTAACATATTATTACTCTATATTTTGTAGACTACAAATTTCGAATCTATATTTATAAATTTAGGCTAAATTATTAGTTAACATATTATTTTGTTAATAAATTAAAAAAACAATTCGAACAAGCCCTTAGTATAATAGTATCAACCTGTATATTTTGTGATGCTTTGCCTTAGAAGAACTATGAGAGTAGGGTATAATTTATTCTTAGAATCTACAACTATAGAATTGGGAGTAAAGTGTTTATTGAGTGTATTTATATATTAATTATGTATATGTAATTGTATATGTGTGTGTATGTGTATATAAACAATTACAATTATAATTAAATATTGATTTGTAATATTATTTTTTTTTTTCGAAAAAGTTTGTTTTTAAGTTTTATAATTATTTATTTTAATTATTAAATTGGTAATTATAAAATAGTATTGTTATTATTTAATTACAATGATATAATAAATAGGTATATGTATAGGTTTTTCTTTTTTGTAACAAAAAGGTGTATGTGAAGTGAAAAAAATTGTTCTATAGCCTAACAATCAATTGAATTCTTTGAAGTATATAAATTAATTGAATTTTTTTTTTTAAATTTTTTTTTAATTAATTAATTTTTTTATATCTTTTGGTTAATATACTTTTGATTTTAAAAAGAAGATACAATAATAAGGATAAGTTATCACCGATATAGATTCAATAATAAAAAAATATATATACAATAATAAATTATTTATAGTTTTTTTAATATTTGTTTTATTAATTTATTTTTTTATTTAACTTATAGAAAAAAAAACAATTGCTTTTTCTATTACACAAAACAAATAGTCTATCAAAAAAGAAAAATTCAAAAAAAAGAAATCCTATTATAAAAGTAATTATGATTTTAATAAGAAATATAAATAAGGTTTTTTATTTGTTTGTTTTTGACATATAATTAATTTGTTTAATAAGTATAATTATAGTTATTATAAATAATAATCTCAAAAATAAAATCGATCTTTAATTTGCTTATTAAATATATTCATTCCATTATATTTCCCAATAAAATTTGGAAAAAGAATATGATCTTTTGATTGATTGTATTGATGATTATAAAAAGAAGTTTATTAATAAATTAGCTATAATAATATATTATTTTGATAATATTGAAAATGATAAGTATAAAATTATTGGGGAGGAGATTATAAAGGTTTTGTATTAAGATCAATTTGATTATAAATTTGATATACCCCATTACAAAAACATTAGCTTTATTAACATCAACAAACTGAAATCTTTAAATAAAAAATTATCAAAAAAGATAATGTTACAACAGAAATAATATATTCAGAAAAACAATTAAATTTATATAGACTATATATATAACTATATCTCTAACAAAGGGAATAATATATACTACTGAGTTTTTGATTAATTATTTAGTTAAGTTTGCTATTTACTTTATCTCACCGATAAACATAAGTATAAGTGTTTATTTTTTGGGAAGATTTGTAAAATATTTTTTTAGTATTAAATAACTATTACTAAATATAACAGCATAACAAAAATAAATTATAATTTTATTAATTTTTTATAAAATTAATTTTTTTTTAATAATTTAATTTATAAAAGAAACTAAAAAACTATATTTCGAAAAAAATACTTTTTATTATTTTTATTCAAAAAAACACAAAGTATTGTATAACCAAAATTATAATATAAAAAAATAAATTGAAATAGTAATACCAATTTGCTTTAATATAAATGAAAATAGAGTTTTTAATAATTTGTGAGTGGTTATATACAATTAAATATAAATTCAATTTTATTATTATATATACTATAGCTAAAAATTGTTTTATCTTTTGATTTATAATTATTCTATGTATTTTTATTATCACTATTAACTAAAAACTCAACTAATATTTTAATTTAAATTATTTAATTTTTACTTTTATACCTTATTTAATCATAATTATTAATACCTATAAAGACTTCCTTTCTAATTTACTTTAAAACTACCAAAACAAAAAAAAAACTTTCTTTATTTTATTATTTTAATAATTCAATTTTTATCCAATTACTTTTTTATTATTTATAAAATTATAATTTTTTATTATTTTAATATATAAAAAAAGTTTTTTTAATTTTTTTATTTATATATTAATTATTATTTATAAAATCATAATTATTCTTTTTACTCTCATAAAAACAAATCTATTTAAATAAATATATAAAAGATTCTAATAAAAAAAGATTTTATAAATAAAAATTGTGAAAAAAATATAAAACAATTTTGAAATTAAAAATAAAATACCAAATAAGATTATTATTAATGTTTAGTTATAATATTTTATATTTAAATTATTAATACATTTTTTTAATAATTAAAATATACTCCACTTCCTATTCGATATTATTAATAATATTTATTAGAAATAATGATTTAATAATTTATCCAAAAAATAGATTATCTACCACTTATAAAATTTACTAAATAAAAATATAAAATGGATTTTTATAATAATAATAAGTCCAATCAAAAAAAATCTCTAATCTAATTAACAATTTTGAATCTATTCTAAATTAAATAATCTAATTTTTTGAAAATTAATATATTAGAAAATTCCTTACATTAAACTATATATAATTTCTTATATCGAAATCAATTGAGTAGTAATGTAAATTAACTAATCAAAATATTTTTTTTATATATATAAAATATTCTTTTTTATTTAATCAAATATTAATTTATTATATTTAATATACTTTTTAATATTAATTATATTCAAATTGTTAATAAATATAATAAAATCAAATTTTCAATTTTAGAGGTTGTAGGGTAAATAACTATACTAAATTTTATATAAAAATTGATTATTTAATAATTTGTAAGAAAACATAAATTGAGTGTAATCTATTATTAATAGAAATTTGGATTAATTGTTTTAATAATAATTTATAAAGAAATATAAATATTATTAAAAATATCAATTATAAATCTCAATCTAATTATTAGTTTATAAATAATAAGCAATAAATAGTTTAACTTATATTTCTAAAATATTATTGAATTTTTACTAAAAGATTAATATAAATTGAAAATTATAATTAGAAATTATAAATTCTGGAATATTATAGTATTTATATATATAATATAGGTATAAATAGACCTAATCTTTTAAATTAATTGATTTATGATAGAATATCAAAATAATTTAATTAATTAATTAATTAATAATAATAAATACATTGTTGTAATTGTATTTATCTTTATTGAAATTATAATAGTTTATAA